ACGAATTTGATTGTGGAGAGACTGACTCGCTGTTTGGAGTTGTCAGTACCAAGCCTTAGCCATGAGCTCGTAAAAGTGAGTTGTTTTACCTGCTCCTTGTTGCATGTTGTAGTGATTCTACCTTCACTTTCTTTCTTTCTTAGGTTAGTCAATACTTCTTTTGTGAGACTCAGGCTTAGCATTGTGGCTGACTCTTTCCGAGTTCTGGCTTTTTTTGCATGGGAAAATCAAGTTACATGATCACTGGTTTTTTACAATTTGGGTCACATCCAGATTACGACTCCAGGCACATTTTCAGAGATCATTGTGCATCAGTTCTAACTAGTACTGTTAGGCAAAACCTACCCAATTTTAGCTTTAAGTCTAAGCTAGAAATTTGCTAGAAAAGATCTTTATTTTAATTTTACGAAATTATATTAATTTAAGAAATTAAAATTTGGTGTTTAATATATTGAAAAAAGAAATTCATGTTATTTTTGACCAAGCACAATTATTATATTATATTATGTTAGCCAATCAAAATTTATAAATCGATTATGTAATTTTAAAATTCAGTGCATTTTACAAAAAACAAAAGTGTTGATTTATGCTATTCCATAATGTACAAATACATAGATAGAAGCCACTAAAAGAAAACAATATTTCAGACTTTGAATTTTCAAAGCTGAGTTGATTTATTATAAGGCCATCCTACTATAATTTAGTGGTTTACATTATCCTTCCTTCCCTCATAGCAAAAAAATTTTTAGTAAATAACATAAGGATTATGTGTTATTTTGGAAAATTTTTATATTGAATGAAACATTTCAGACAAAATTCTTTTTTTGAAAAAAAATTTTGAAAATATACTATGTGAACCCCTTAAAAACGCTCCCACCCCCTTCTTTTGAGGTAGAGATGTAATGTGACCACTGAATTAAATTGGAATGGCCAAGTTCAAAAGCCTGAAGTATAGTTTTCTTTTAATAGCACTCAAATACAAATGAAAGACTATCGTTTTGTATATTGCTTTTGTATATTTTTTATATAAGCCACATGCAGTGCTTAACATCCACACACAAAATATTTTGGTTTAACATGGTTTATGTGTTTGATGTTCTCTAGAGGCTTTAGCTTTACCAAGGTTTCTTCAGAGTTTCGTCAGTTTCAACTTTCGCCAGGTTAAGTTTCGACTTTCGCCATTTGCCAAAAATAGTTTTGCCTAACAACAGTAGTTCCAACTGGATTTGTCTCTTACAATATATATGGTAATAGAAATACTTGATTTTTTTGTTAGTTGTAATTACATATTTGGTACAATTAATTTATTGTATATATGATTACAATAATTACATTTAGCACACCCTTGGGTCTAATCCAAATTTTTTAAAATGATGTCAAATTGGGTTATTAACATTCATGTTATAATAATGTTGTTTAAAGAATAATTTAATATAACTTAATAATGATTATATATTTATTATAATAAGGAATAGTATATAAGAACCATCAATTGCAACAAAACTTTAAGTCAAGCATACGCATATATATGAGGGCTATAGAGTGAAAACCTGGAAGTGAATCTTTAAGTTTATCACTGTAGGGGACTTTGTCTTTATTATACATTATAAGACTAAGTCCGCTACAGTGATAAAGATTCACTTCCAGGTTTTCACTTTACAGCACTAATATATGGAATGATAAACAAATAAGTTCTACGTAGAAATGCATGCACATTAATTTTATATCAACTAGAAATGTATACATAATTTACAAGCTTTCTAGTTATATAGTGCACCAAAGTTATTAACAAAATCACATCTATGTGCGTATAAAGCATATTATGAATATAATCTATAAAACTAAATAAAAACTAAAAAATTATTTATTTTTAACATATTATATTAAATAACAATTTATTTATTTTTATTTTAAACTTATTTAAACATATTTATATAATGTTTATTTCTCACAAACCCATATCTGTGCGGATCCAATCAATTTACTTGATTTTTTGAAATAAAGCAATTCGATTGGATTCACACAAATGTAGATACATGAAAAATAAACACTTTATTTATATTATTTCATATATCAGATATTTAGTTTGTAATTTACAAGTAAGTTTGTTATTTTTACAGATAATTCACACTTTGTAAATAAATTGATTTCAAACATCGCATAGGGCACTGAATGTGATGCTAATTCGTTACGCAAAAATAAACTAATAGCATATGACATATTGTCAATTATTTTCATGTGATGATTTAGCATAACTCCCGTGGCAAAGTCCATAAGAAGACTTTCGTATGATTGGTTGTTTAAATCAATTTAATTTTACATTATTTATACAATTAAAAATAGTTTTTTAAAAAAAATAAACTAACAACCAAAAAAGAGGTATATTGAAAGTTTTATTAGAATTTTAGGACTCCACTATCAAAATCAAAATCCCTTTTTGTTTTAGAGAAGTTAGCATGTTAAAACCTAATTCAATTTATCTTTAAGAAGTCACGATTATGCAGAAATGATTTTATTATTTTAAACTGTATAAATAATGTAAAATTAAATGAATTTAAACAGCCTATTATACGAGACTTCCTATGGTATCCATTTAGTAAACGTTTTTTACATTTCGTGGTTTCCACATTTGTTTTGTTATACGAGTACACGAGATCCTGTAACATTATCCAAAATAAATGCTAACACACATTCATGTAACAACAATACCAACTTTCGCGCTTTAACATTTTCGCTTTCTACAACAACCTGGACTTACGTTTCGTTTCCTACAACTATCTGAACTTACGTTTTTGTTTCTACAACTTACCTAGACTTTGCATTTTCTGGATTTTACTGTTATTTGTGTTTTTTTTTACTTACGTTATGATGGAACACAAGTAAGAAGAAACTTTTTTTGTATGATATATTAAGTTTTGTTAGCAAAATCCATGCTGTCATAGTGTGATAGTGATTGAGCTATTAGTTTTGTATAGTAATGAAAAGTTCTAGACCTTATTATGAAGCATTTAAATGCTGGATAAAATCTACAAGATCATGCATTTATAGTGAAAAAATGTTTCCTATGTCGTAATGAAAAGTCTTTTGATGGAGGGCTAATTCTGGAGAAGAAGTTAGATATATCTCTATCTATAGATAGTTAAACTTTTCATAAAGCATGGACATCAACGAAATTGTGCTTAATATTGAGAAAATACGTGTATAGCTCCTATATTATAATGAAGTTGTTGGTTTACTGATTCTGAAGAAGGAATTGGTTATGTTCAACGAGAGACAGTAAATCAATTTTAATCAAAATACTAGTTTTATTGACATTAAACTATTTGATCCTAATAACCTTAATAATAATCAATGTAACATCACATTCTAATTTTCTTTTGGATTTTATCCTTGAAATGTCCTAGAAATTAAACTGACAACTTCTCTATTGTTATATAGTACTCCGAAAAAATCAAATCAAAATTCAAATTTTAATTAAATATTTGAAATTATTTGAATTAATCAAAAATTTGGTCAAATAATTGACTCAAATTCAAAATTTGATTTGATTTTGCGGAGTACTATTGTTATATAAGCATAAATAGTAAATTTTACTTGTAAAATTAGACTGACCTACTTCAGGAACTATACAGTAGAAATATTCTTGTATAGTTTTCATTGATTTATGATATTAACAAAACAATATCTGTGAAACTCCTTTCGATATACAAGCAAAATTTGAATATTGGCGTTATCCAGAAATTATGATCATGATTGGTAGGGAGTCATTGGCTGAGTTTTAATTTGAATACGTCGTAACAAGACACAGATGGTAATTCATGATCATAGGAGTCTGCCGGATAAAATAATTTTGTATAAATTTATTAATGTGTATAATTTATTTATAATTTATTAAGGGGTACATGTTTCGCTATTTTTGTTATTCGTATTTTCTAGATTCATTTTCTCACGTGGTAAGTTAATTGGATTTTAGGTATGTATGTACGTACATACGTACATACGTACGTACTTGATCGTGATCGTTAATCATCTAATTTAATTAGTTAGCTGTGAATATAATTACAAATGTCTATAAAGATATCATGCAAAATTATTTGAGCCTTATCGCCATTTATAAGTTTATAGTAATTTAGATAAGCATGTCAGAAATGTTGTGGCAGGCAAAAATTCTTTAAATTTCACTAACGTTGAAGTTAGTGTTTATATTAGGGTTAGGTGCTACGTAACAGATTATACAGTAAAACTGCTTAATGAAAACTTTTGTTAGACACTAAAGGTAGCTTTTATGCGCATTCGGTTTGTTTATTTTGAAAAATCCTGATCGTATTACGTTACACTTAATTCTTGAAATCTGATTACAGTAGACACATTTACGACATGCATTCCTTAAATGAGTTCCACAAAGAGAAAACCTGTAAATCTTTTTAAATAAGATTTGAGAGTTTTATCTTTGACGGCACTTAAGTGCATACATTCAATTACAAACACACATCATTTCACGTAAATCTTTGCATATCATTAATGCACTTAGGATGGATTGAATAATAGTTAATTTTGCGTATACTTCATTGAATTCTATTGAATTCAGGAAACAATTTAATATTGTATTTTCATTTCTTTCTACACCCGGTAACATGTCCATTTATGTGGTGTCATAATTGGTTCAATTTCTGAGTTAGATTAACCAATTTAGTCCCATTATAAACTGATTTGACTGGCTAGTCAACAAAGTGACGAAGCCAGCATTATTGCGAGATCACGAGATTCTGTTACGTCAGTTAACGTCATACTGATTAGTTGAGGAAAATGAAGTAATATCGAACAAATTATGTAGTAATGGGAAATTTACTAAATTGTATTAGAGCTATGAGTTAATGATTTTGTAATGGGAAATATTCGAAGAGATAAATGTGAACTACTGTAGTTGTAAAGTTTTTCTTCGCTTTAGTTTCGCTATCGCTCGCCTTATAATTGTTGGCCAGCTATATCGATAAAATAGCATGATATTAGTCTCTCAAATAAATAAATAAATAAATAAATAAATAAATAAATAAATAAATAATCAATCGAAAACCCTGGTTAAATAATTTACTTGACGCTTTTAAATGTCTGCGGTTGGAAGAAAGTGGACAAACTGACCTTGAACGACTTAAGAGATCTATGCCAGTCCTGTGGTCTGGATACTCATGGTAACAAAGAAGAGTTGGGGGATAGGTTGAGCACACTTTTCTGTGAAAGAAATAATGTCTCACCTGCCCCTGGTTATAATAACCTAAATGAAAATGATGGGGTTTTAGAAATTACAGAAGACTCTGGACCTGCTTTTAGTGACCCAGGAGTTATGCGATGTGATAGTGGTAAAACCCTGGATATGAGTGATATCGGCTCTGAAACTGAGCTGCCCCCTGGTAATGGCCCTAAATTAGGGGAATCGGTTGGGAATAACACTGGGTTTCCTAGTTCTTTTAAAGGAAAAGGGAAAACTCGTGATGTGACAAAGAATGAAAATCCTGTTCCAGTTAATATGTTCCTCGCTGCATTAAATAAAATTGAAAAAAAGATGGACCTTAATTTCGAAGCTTTACAGGACCAGCATTTTAGAGAAACGGAACAGCAAACTCTTTTGAGTGAAGCGTGGCCTGATGTTAAACTAGACAGACCCCGTGATCAGCATGAGTATGACTTTTTAATTAAACTGGGAAAACGACTTGACAGGGCCATGGCACTATTGACTGAGCAGGACAGTAATGAGTTCTGCTCCATTAGAGAGGAGATTGAGTCACGTGCAGTTATGTTGCGCCTTGCAAATGATAAGGGTTGGAAAGTTGCGTTGCAGGTAGTAGGCTGTAATGACAAAATGATGCAAAAGTATAAGGATCAGATTGGTACGGCAACCCGAATGTGGGTGTCACAAACTAACCTTTGGAGATATACTAAAAGATCCAATAAGAAAACAAAAAGAAAGTACACTGACTCGTCATCTTCTGAATCAGAAGATAGGTCAATGAAATATCAAAGAAATAAAAAAAGAAAGAAAAACATATTTTCCTTTCGTGACAAAAGAGGTTTTAAATCTCAAAGCTCCTCGGACCTGGTCACATGTTACAACTGCGGGGGAGTTGGTCATATATCCCCAAACTGCCCTCGACTAATGCAAAAGAATTGCCATCTAGACCAAGATCCAAACAAGACAATTGACTACACTCAGGTGCAGAAGCAAGAAATGACAATGTTACAAAAGAGTGTAGTCGAATCAGTAGTAGGAAAGATACACACCTCAGTAGCCCTAAACTATTGGCGCATAAAAATAAAACCTTCCCCTATAATATTAGATTGGTTAGAAAATGGTGTGCCTCTTTGGCCAAGAGGAGTTTTACCATTAGCAATAAGCCCAGACCCCAAGCAATATCCTCTAACAACAGAACAGTCAGATTGGATCAAGTACGAATTGCTCCGCCTACTGAAAACCAATGCAATTCGTTGTTTAGGAACTCAGCTAGTACGCCCAGAATTTTTGTTAGAAGTGAGCCCAGTCTTTCTCGTCCCAAAGAAAGGACCAAAAAAATAGAGAATGGTAATAGATTTGAGACGTTTAAATGCAACTCTTCCAGAAAAAAGTTTCCGGTTCGAAGGCCTAGGAGGGTTCTTGCGTACAATCGGAAAAAATTGGTATGTCATCACAATGGACCTAAAAGATGGCTACCATCACGTATTAATGACAGAGCAAGCACAAAAATTTTTAGGATTCAAAGTTCTAGACAGTTGGTATCACTACAGGGTACTACCCTTCGGTTTATCTCAAGCTGTATGGGTATTCTCCAAAATAATGAGATCTCTTATTGGCCATTGGAGATCCTTAGGAATTTTCTGTGGAAATCACGTCGACGATATTTGGGTTGCACACCCCTCTGTACAAAAGTTAAAAGTAATAAGAGATACAATAATAGAGGTAGATTTAAAGAGCTGCGGTTTCGTAAGAGAACTATCCAAGGGCCAATGGGAGCCGACTCAATGCCCAAGGTTTTATGGACTGATAATAAATACAGTCAAAGCGGAGGTAGTGATTCCAAAAGAAAAAATCATAAAGACTCAAAGACTACTTCGGGAGTGCGCTCAAATGGAGTCAATTTCAGCTCATCGTTTAGCTGCAGTAGCAGGGAAAGTACAATCTTTAAGCAGGGCTTTTGCACCTGCAAAAGTGCGCTGTCTAGAATTTTATACACTAATAGATGCTATAAACAGAAAACCTTGGCAATGGGACTCGCAAATAGTATTAATCAATCAGGCTCGAAGCGATGTCAATTGGATAGCACAAAACTTGGAAACAAAAAATGGAAGACCTGCGTGGAAGCCTTCCAAAGTAAAAACACTTTATGTCGACGCTTCCACAACTGGTTGGGCAGCAGTATTCGAAAGATATCGAGCATTTGGAAGTTGGGGATCAGTAAAGTCTTGCAAAGAAATAGCCAAATTAGAAGCCCTGTCAGTAATGTTAGGAATAAAATCTTTCTCTCACCTACTAAGCCATTCCTGGGTAGATATCCATATAGACAATCGTGTAGCTCTAAGTATGGTCACCAAAGGTGGAAAACTGCCTTGGCAGAAGGAAGTACTCCGGGAACTTTGGGAGTTACTAGACAAACACGATATTTGGATAAACGAAACCTTTTGGGTTCCTTCTCTAGAAAACCCTGCAGACAATTTAACTCGGGTCTTAGACCCTTCCGACTGGAAGCTTTCTCAAAGGGTATTTACCATATTAGAGAAAAAATGGGGCCCGCATACAATAGATCGTATGGCAAATCACCTCAATACAAAACTACCAAGGTTCAACAGTCAACTCTACTGCCCAGGAACCGAAGCAGTAAATTGTTTCTCACAAACCTGGAAGGACGAAAACAATTATGTTTGCCCTCCATTAGGCCTTGTCCACCAAGTCCTTCAGCATATAGTTCAAGAGGGTTCCACAGCAACTGTCATCATTCCAAAGTGGCACTCCGCAGAATGGTGGCCGATATTAATGCACCATCTAACCGATTACATGGACATGCCTCCACCTTGGATAACCTTCGAAAAAGGGGCTTCAGGGCAGGTAGAACCATTAAGAAACCTGAAATGGCAATTCATGGCAGCCAGAATAAATTAGTAGCGGCATTGTTGGAAAAAGCACATTGTTTGATTAGAAAGGCTTGCTCTAAAAATTGGAACATCCGCCTTGATAGAGCTTGGAAAACCTTTGTTAATTTTTGTAAAATCACAGGTCAAAATGCCTTTCCGTCTTCAGAAAAAACTCTCCTATCATGCCTAATTTGGCTTGACTTAACTGATGCTATTTCAAACTGTTCTGATATATTAGCAGCAGTGTCAAGGGAGCATTTAGAGTCATCTTTACCAGATCCCTCAAAAACATATAATGTAAGGAAAGCATATAAGGCACTCATGAAAGAATCACGTAAAGAGCATGAACCAGAATGGCCACGTGATCCTTTGCCTATTTTTGCATTGCACCAGTTTGTTACAAATAAACCGCTGTATATGGATGAAACTATGTGGATACGTGATGCAACTCTCATTGCAATTGGTCTAAGAACTATGCGTCGCCCCTCAGAATTGTGCAAAATGAAGTTAAATGATATTAGACTTTGTAATAATCTATGCTGGGTCCGAATATCTAACTCCAAAACTGACCAATTCTCTAACGGGAGGTTTATCCCAATTGAAATATCTAATAACCTTTGCTGCCCAGTTAAGCTTCTTAAAAATTACTTAAAAATTCGTCCTAAAACTCCTGCTAACTGGCCACTATTTCTGTCAAAAACAAGAAAACAAATGTCAGTTGGAGCAATTGGTGCTGTTGTTAAGAGAATGGCAGAAAATGCTCATTTGACAGGCCGATATACAGCACATAGTATTAGGATTGGTGGTGCAACGGCTGCAATGGAGGCTGGTTTCTCACTAACACAGATTCGTGCTATTGGTGGATGGGACAGTAAGGCTGTCATGCTTTACTTAAGATCCATTGGTACAGCACAATTGGAAATATCTAAGAAAATGGGCTTTTGAAATAAAAAAAAATTAATATAAAGGGGGAGCAATAAACGAGTAATTGTAAACTATTTCGATCCTCTTTGTTTTCCCATATGTATATTCCCTTAAGTATGTCTTGTAATAAATAGATCGAGCAATAATAATGACTGGCTAGTCAACAAAGTGACGAAGCCAGCATTATTGCGAGATCACGAGATTCTGTTACGTCAGTTAACGTCAT